CTTTGCAGAACATCGCATTGACGTGCAGTGAAGTGGAATAATTAACACAGATGACCATGATTTAGAACAGAATAAATTCCTTTTGTTGTATTCCAGGGACGGAAAAGGGATTGAAAGATGCAGCACTGTCCTGTCACAGGAAAACTTCCTGGTGTTGCAAGCAAGGCTCAGTCTGTGTTCTCTGTCTGCTACAGTTAGGGTATCCGCTGGATGGCAAAATCCAGATCAAACCCAGATTGGCTGGCAAAAACCAAACCTAGATTGGCTGGCAAACCCAAATAAAAAACACCGTATGGGATATTCCACAAAGGACAAATTGTAGCAGTCGCAGTGGCTAAGCTGATTCCTATCACCAGCATTGTACCTTATTTAATCCTAGTCAACATCTGAAATCAAGTTAACGAGGAGATTTTGAAAAGATCTTGCAATGGCCTGGAGATACAGATACCCCAAATGGTTACTGCAGGTTGTAGACACCAATCACAGCTTAGTTTTGGAGGAGCAGAGCACCACTTTTTTGTTGTCTTTAACCTAACACTTAAAAATTCTGCTCTACAAGAAATGTCTAGTTGCACCAAAACCATAGCAGTGGAAAAGAAATCAACTGTCTCTACCAGTAAGAACTTCTCCTCTTCCCTGCAAAAATCCTGCCACTTCGTTCAGAAATCGAATAAGGCACTAACTCAGTTGCTGGCAAACTCTCCCTTTTATCTTTCACTCGCTTCAGGAAGGCTAGCAACATCACATTTTTGGAAAGCCAAGTGTAGTAATCATAGAATCGGATTGCATGCATTTTTAAAAACATTTGCAGCAGCAGAGCGCCAATCACCTTTAAAAGAAATACAAACATTCAGAAATTCTGAGGAAGCAACTTAGAGCTCCCGACTGTCTTCATTCGTTTAACACCAGATGAACGTGCTGGGAAGGGTCCCCGTTAAAAGAAGACCTCAGAAAGTTAGCAACATTACACTACAAGCACCATGGAGCCAAAATACTTATTATCTCATATAAGGCTGGATGACATTTGAGATATCTCAACGTTTATTGGCCTGCCAGCAGAATGTGGAATCAACCAGCTCCTTTTCTCTCCGATCTTTTTTTCCCTTTTCCCCTGCTTGCTCAAAGTCTGTGTTCATCAAATATTTAGTGGAAGCTCTTCAGAGGATGATATTGCCTATACTATAGCCCCAGTGTGGGTTTACTGTGAGACAGATATTCTGCCACCAGAGAAATCAGAAGAGCTGATCTAGTTGAGTGACTGCACTGGGAGCTCACTGGTGGCTGTCAGACCCAGCTTCTGGGCTCCATCCCTGCCCACGACCCCAGCAGAGCAGCGGTGGACAAAATAAGTGAATGTGCATAGCAGATCTGGTCCCTTTGCAATGCTTATAAGGAGAAATGTTCCTTTTCAGAATGGAAAACAGAAATATCAGTGTTCTGCCTGTTTCCAAGCCCCAGCTGGGGACAGCTGACCCTTTTTTACCCCTTGTTATTTTCTTCTCAGTAGAAAAGAGCAAGGACATCTTGAATTCAGATAAACTGCTAAATTAAGCTATCACTTGGTTAGCAATTCCAGGTAACCCATTTCTGCAGCAGCCTGCCATAAACTGAATTAAATAGCATGGTTCCCCCCGCCCTGCCCTGAACTTTGTTACAACCTGCCCATTTTCCATGTTCGTAGCCTTCCCTATTAATCCATAAATTTGTGTTCCAACCACTATTTGATCTTTCCCTCCTAGCTTTACTAAACCAGCTACATTTTCTTGACATTTTCCTGTATTAGAGCAAGTATCTACTTTTAACCTTCTCATCTCAGCCTGGCCGTTTGAATGTACCTTTGAACCTCTGTCACATTCTAAATCCCTATGATTTTCCCTATTAGTTCAAGGGGTAGACATTTCTTTGTTCCACCTTTGGCATTTTTCACCCTTAGGCATCCAGGAGCTTAAATCAGACTGTTGCCAAACTATCCTCCTTTAATAATTTTTATGAAGTGCAGTCCAATTATCTTTATCTTCCTTGGGGATCCATTCAATTAAGCACAGTCGTAATGAGTGAATGGACACAGAGCATTGTAACCATATTTACATCCAGATTAATGGGAACCAGGTAAGATAACTTTAAAGCCATCAATATTTTAATACCTTGGCTTTTCATTTTGCTATCTTCTATGTCAGACACATTTAGAGAGACCAGCACAATTTTAGAGGCTGAGTTTTTAATTTCCTCCTTGGTTTGTGGAAATGAGGGTTTAGAAACAGCAGTAAACTACATGAATTTGTCTTTAAATAGGTTTCTTGCAGGTTAACTGAAACACTTCTTGTGATAAAAAGCAACCTGGAAAGCTTAGTCCAGCTTCTTGGACATTTCTTGAATTGAACATAATGGAAGAAAACAGTAAATAACCAATCCTTAAGTGGAGATGCTGAGATGACTGCTAAGCGTTGCTTAGAGAGCACACAAGAGATGCTAAGCTTGAAATACCAGTTTTGAAGTGACTTTTCTCCCTGCTGAAAGACAAATGTTGGATCTGCACGACGGACCTATCCCTCAGATACAGAATAGCTTTGACAGTTACTTTCACACCTTCTTTAAGGCACCTTTGCATCACAGGAGCAAGGTAGAAGGATCAAATTGAGACTGCCAACCTGGTTCTGTTTCAACACAGCTTAACATAACAGTGTCATAGCCACTGATAAATGTGTCAATAAGCATTTGGAGAAATATCTGGTATCCAGGGAATTTATACTGGTTGTAGTAGCTTCAGCTGAATAGGTCAGATTTGTTAACATTTTAATTTACACAAATCTGCATTCCAAATACTGCTCTTAGGCTCCTTTTCCTAACAACGAGAAAATGTCAGCAGCAAAACCAAATTTACTCCTCTAATAGCTTTCTCAAGATTTGAGGAAAAACAAACAAAAACAAAAAAACAATCTGTGATAAAGCCATGTAGTGCTTAAACACATTTTTTCAATTTAGCCCTAATATAATTTTATGTTAATAAAACAGAAACTTTTTGCCAATTCCAGATGTAATTCTGAAAGGCAGTGGAGAGCACTGGGAACGAGCATGTCCCATAGCTGCAGGGCAGCCCCAGGTCTGTGCCCAGGGCTGCTTGTTCTGCCTTGTTCTGAGTGTCCCTCGCCCATCCTGTGGGATGCTCAGTGCTGCATTTCCACACACAGAGTGCCAACTTACCGTCACTTCCCAGACCCGGTGCAACAGCGGGCCTAACACGAAGCATATGGTTCCCCTGAAGTTTTTATTATACTTCAAGCGCAATGAGATAAATCTGAAAAAATATCACCATTCTGCTTTACCCTTTTCCCCTATTTATCGCCTGCCTCTTTTTTTTCAGCTGATTTGCTGAGATTAAAACCTCTCGCCCAACTCGCTATAGCAATCCATGTCTCTGAAATTAATATAAACCTATGACCTTTCTCTATCTGTAAAGCCCTACATTGCAGTGCTGGCCCCCACTGATGTCAGGGGGGCAATAAAAGTTCTGTCATTTCCTTAAAGCCAGCATTTTCCTGCCAGAATTCAGATCCCTCCTCCAAGTCCCCTGCTGCCGTCCCCTGAGCGCAGCCAGAAATCTCTCCCGCAGCCTCCATGCAGCCCTGGAGCAGAAAAGCAGCCCCACGTATGCAAAGAAATGGGCACAAGACTTTGAATTTTTTATGTTGATGTAAGTGAAGTTTGTGAAGATTGTGTGATGAATGTTGATGAATGCGTATTTTCATGATATTAATGATGTGCACAGCAATGCACATTGGCTATTGCTTGTCAGAGCATTGCAGCAGGGCTGACGGTGCCACTGGGGCTGAACTGTAAAGGAAAAAAATTCTTATGTGCTTGGGGACACAGATTTCATTCCTTCAAGGCTGGTGTCCCCATTGGTCACAGGGGAGGAAAGAAGAGAACAGAAGAACAAAACCAATTTCTGGTGCCTTCTCTTAGAAATGCACACTTGATGCTCTCAGAAATGGATTTTGCAAGACTTCTTGTCTCTGTGGACTGCCTCAACTCAAATATCTTGACTTATGGCTAAAAGTAAGTCCTTACTTTTGTATATGTTGCATAGCCATACTATTGGTGGCTATCCATTCAGTGAACAAATGACCTTTCCTATCACTTACAATCTGATCTCCTAACGGCAGTGGACAGGTGACATTCCATGAATGACACAGTCCAACGGGGAAAAAAAAAAAAAGTAGAATTTAAGTTTCCCCTCTCACTTCACAACCACAGACTGCTGTCCCCTCCTTCTACTCCAACCCACCCTCGAGTTTTTTTAACGTGTGAGGTATAAATGCTTTCTCCTTGAGTTATACTCACAACCAGAGAAGGCAGAGCTCTAAGAATCATACTACGTAGCTTACACCACCAGACCATATTTTGGTCCTTTGTAATGGTATTTTTTCTGTATTTAGAAGAGCTGTAACTTGTAAAATGCCAGGAAAAAAGGCTATTAGAAACAGGACTGTACACAAAACCAAAATCACATGGTTGATAACATACATCAGAAGAAATTTATCTAGTTTGGAAACAATACAAGGATGCCGTCATGAAACACACTACATGTGTGGAATATAGGCTGTGTAACTGCTTCCAAATAAACATACAGACAGGTCTAAAAAGGCCTATAGTCATAAACCTCTTTATCTGTCCCATGACAGAAGGGGGAGAAATGCCAACTTATTCATCCCCTTTTCCTTCTGGAGTATTTTCTGTCTTTGAGTTGTGCACATTTACACAAGGCATATACAAGCATCTCGAGTCTGAAGACTCTCCCAGGGTTTCATTGACCACTATGAATTAAGACAACAGTATCACACCAAAGCCACAATGCCCCATGGTCACTGCAGGAGCAAAGACCATGATCTCCACACTGCAACGCAAACTTTTGGAAGGTTTGGATTAGAGAGAGGATTTGGGCTTTGCAGGTCAGTAACCCTCAACAACTGGAAACGTAGTGTGATGGTTTTCAAACTCACCTCTCTGTCAAGGCCAGCAGCCACGGTGACGATGTCTCCCGTCTCGCTGTTAATGGTAAACATGTTTTGTGACGGGCTCTGTGGGGTCTGAGTCACAATTCGGTATCTCACCATCCCGTTCGCTGTAGTACTGTCATCAGCATCATTCGCAGTCACTGTCATCACATAGGTACCTTGGACCAAGAGAAGACAAAATATCAGGACTATCACACGGCACAGCAGATTTCAGTCTTGTTGACTCAGGGTTGTGCATTTTACTCAGAAATGCACACAGTAGATACCTCATTTCAATCTAGACATTGCGAGGATTATGAAAATAGCAACACTGCCGAGACTAGATGATCAGTAAGGATACTGATTACATGTCACCGATATATGGAGAGAAGTTATATGAGGATATCTATGATTAACTACTAATTCTTTCAGTGATTGTAAGTCTAAGGGCAGCATTTTTTTGTCCTGCAATTTCATATAAATTCTCCCAGGACATTTTTTTTCCCATTTGCCAATCACTTCATTCACATATATTCAAAAGTATTTCCATAGTTTAATGGAAGAAAGCCTGTCAGAGTTCTCAACAGTTTAAGAAGGATGCCACCAACATGCCCAGGACCCCATCACGATGCCCAGTGCAGCAACCTTCTGCTTCTTCCTGTCTTTGGAGAAACGTCCACCTTTCCAGCTCCTTCCAGAGAAAAAACAACATTTCTGCAGAGCAAATGGAACAGCTGCTGCCCAGCAGGACAGAAAATCAATGATTTGGTATGTGTGGCCAGTGATGTATTGAATCATTGGTTTGTTTCTTGCTAATCATCAGTGTCTTCATTTGCCTTGCAAAAAAAAAAGAAATCCCTACTTTCTAGATACTGTTGGGAGCGCACTGATGCACTGACAGGCTCATTATCACTGGAGTTTGGCAGCAGGGTGTTCTGCTAAAGTGGGAAATTATCATTATGAGGGTAAAAGATGTTACTTGATTGGATGGACTCCTGCAGATGCATGGTCCTGTGACCCCCCTGAGCTCATAGGGCCCAGCTTTATGCTCGTTATACTGGTAGGAGAGAAAGACTGAAAGGGCAGACACATATTGCTTGCAAAAAGCAATCTGCAACAGTGTATGAATCTAATGATATGAGACCTGAAAAGGAGGAGTGGGAGGCAAAGAGACAGTGAAACCAGACATAACCTTGCTTAACAACCATCAGAACCCAACAGCATCAATGGAAAGTACCGCTTGTACACTGCTCATTTGGGAACTCTGAACACAATGAACCAACTTATGAGCATGCCAAGCTGGAGGAGATGCAAAGCGGTCCCAACAAGAACCTGGGCTCAAGACATGGCCATGTGTTGTTTTGCAAAAAAAGAGCTGAGCTCGTTCTGCCCACTTGGTTAGATGTGAGCTGCTGGCAAACTTGAGGCCATGTGGCTACATCAGCATTGCATCATGTCTGACCTAATACACCCAGATTCCCAGATTGATCACAAAGTTAACCAGCTTCCAGTTCAGAGAAGGCACAGAGAACCAGAGGGCTTGTATCTGTTTGCAGGAGAATTAAAGAGCTACCCCTTGCTCTAAATGGGCGGCTCTATCAACAGCCGCAGCATGCCCAAAACTGCAGCCTACTCAACTGCCCTGAAGACAGCATGTAGGCAATGCCCCCAAATGCCCCCAGTATCTTCCCCAACTTTGGGAAAAAACAAAAACAAAAACCCAACAAACACATTTTTCTGTATTAGTGGCTTCCTAAGTTCATATTTTTGCAATGTGGAAAATGCTTTCCTGAACTTCTTCCATCTGGCTCTCTCAGGCTCTTTTTGTTCTCTGCGGTGATAACATATCCCTGTGAGTTTTCTTAGTTCAATAGGAATTATAGATTAAAAAATAAATGAATGTGTAAGGCAAATTCTAATGATGAATACATTCCTATCATTCTGTGCTAATCCTGATTCACATTTGTGAAATGAAAACAAACTATTCAACAACTAACATTTTTCCAATCAATAAACGTCAGGAGGAGGAAGGAACACTGCACTGAAACAAGGTTGCACAGGCAATGGATTTTATCCTTTCTCTTCAGGCATTTTTTTTCTCCTTTGCAAAACCAGTTATCATGAGACAACTGATACAAATAAAGAAGCCATTCCTTAGATAGGTACAGGGGAAACGTACAGGAGAAATTTAAATAGGAAATATGCTGAATGAGGAGATGTTTGATTTGAAATCTATGTTATCTTAATGCATTCTATACTGAAAATATCTCTGAACAGAATGTCAAAACCTGGGGCTAATGAAAACAGAAGTGGAAGAGGAAAACAGAATCTATTTTAGGACACGTGCAATCTTAGGACTTACTCCAAATAACAGGTGGTATTTTGTGATTCATTTTAAGTGCAAGAAAAAGCTCAGAAAGAAAAGTTACTGGGGCTCCTGCAGCCCTGGTCCCTCCTCATTCAGGGTGTCTCAGACTGCACCATAGGAGATGCGGGGTTCCCACCCTGGCAAGAGGCTGCAGCTGTGGTGGGCATGGGGGTGACCTGCCAGTAGTTCTGTTGTGGATGGGAGGACACATATACAGCAGATGTCTTTCGCTCACTCCCTCACCTTCTTTCTTTTCTGCAATGTTGTATTTTGACCACTGGACTGAGCTCATCTGCTCTAAAAGAAACAACTATTTTGGCAGCATTTGACCTACGTCTCCACAAGGGAGATGGGAGTGGACAAATGTCTCTAATGTCATGAACTGACACCAGGGAGCTGTATTTCAAGGGGCAATCTGCTCCCTATCCATCTCATATCTTTAATTTCCCTTATGAAACTCAACCGCAGAGAAAATAGAGGAACTTGGCATTAATTACTAACTTGTAACTTAATAAAGTATCCTCTGCAAAGGCCCCTGTGTGGCTGCAGCACTCGGCAGCACATGGTGGAAATCCAGCAGCCGCTTCCTTCCCCGGCTCTCCACCGCTCCCTGGGGCTGCTTGTCTGACCACAGTCTGCTGGAAACCAGTTTAAAATTATTTCTTCCTTTCTGCAGTCTGGATGGTGGCTGGGAAGAGCTGATATGTCCGTTCCCATCCCTATGCGTACACATTTCCCACTTGGCAGTGCTGACCCAAGTGCAGCAGCCTGATGGCATCTCCTGTTCCCCTGCTGAGAGCTATTCCCGAGCACTGCTCCCAGGGGATCCGTTGCTCTAACCTGCACTCACCGTCAATGTTCCACTCAGTTTTCTGTATATTTACTCTGTCTTTAAGCAAGACATATCCTCTGGATACCGATGTGCTGCGGTGAATGACATAAATATATATCTGTGCACAAGAATTGCAGTAGAGTGCTGTGGATATATGCTGCTACAGAGCCTAACATCTTCCGGGTGCTATATAAAGTCTCCCACTACAGGAAGGTGGTTGGTGATGATTTACCTACTATAAAGGTAAATAATGTCATGTTTCTATGTTGCATGGGGATATATCTTCATATACTTTATATTAAAATAAAGGAAATACATCCTCACATCTAGCCCGTTACTACACAAATTAGGCAAACATACAGTGGCAGACTGTACATTTCTTACACACTTGAGGGCTGAGACTGCTATTGTTAGGATTCAAGTGAAAAAATCCTAAAAGTGTGCCAGTTTTGGGTCAGACTTGGCCACTGGTGATGGAGAAAAAAGAGAGGTGTACAAACACGACAAGAGGGTCTTTACGCATTTGGTGTGTGAAAGAAGCATTAGCTTTATTTTCTGCTCTGAAGAACTTGCTTACAAGCATGCTGACAACATAAAATGAATGCACAAAGTGACAAAACTCAGGATTTTGCCCAAGTCTGTGCTGTGTATCAAATAATGAACACCCAGTCCAGACGGTGTTTGATATAACTGTATTAACTTATACACCTGGCCTGCTAACTCAGGTAGATAACCTGTTGAAAGAAAAACATTTCTCATCAAATCAGGCACATGGTATGTTAAATGAAACACCTAACCTAGTACATCATGTCAATATTAAATCACATTTGTTGCATGTTGAACAGCTCTTCTAAGAAGCAGATTGAATTATCATGCACAGCTAGTGATGACAAGATTACTGTGCATTAGCTTTTCATTAACTAATGTGCCAAGTTCATATATCACCTGAGTTAAAATTAATGTATGGCATGATGAAGGAAGTCTATCAGTAAAAGGCAAGACCCCAAGAAACTGAACTTCACAGTGCATTCCCTTTTATTTCCCAGAGACTTCCATCTCTGAGATATTATTTCATCAAATGAGATATTTTTGTTTCAACCTGACAATAGACAAGAAACAAGAGAGATGCTTGAAAGCACCCCTAATGGAAAATATTCCCATTAGATTAATCAAGCATTCTACAGGATGGGTAAAATAATACCTTACAGAAACTGGGGAGATAGAAGCAAAGGGAGACCATTTTTTACCCGTATATTCAGTTTTATTGATTTTAAAATTAATTGCATCTGTTTGTAAAAGACTGCAAGAAGATTTGATGTGCACTACATCTCATTCGATCTGTGTATGTTTGTAAAGTAAAAAAGGAGCAAAACAAGGAAGATAGCTTCCCCCGTATATATACGAGCAGATAAACACACAGTCATAAACAAATGTCTCCTGAAAATTGCTCTGGAATCTGAGAATCAGGGTGATTCTTTCTAGCTCAGATGCTTCCAAAGCATGCCAAAGACTGCTGATTCCCATCACATTGTCTGCAACCTCTGCTCTCCCATCTATGCAACTGCATTTCTCTGTAAAGACTGGGCTGTCATGGTTTTAAGGCATACAAACAATATCTCAGCACAGTTGTGCTCCCAAAGTCTTTGTTACAACTCCTTCATAATTACCATTTTTCTAAGCTGGTTTGATATCCATTAGTTAGATTTAATGCATGTAAAAAGAAAGAGCTAATGGGCACTTATCAGGAATACAAATAAAAAAAAAGACAAAAAACCTTTCACTTTGCTCTTTATACCACATATTACTATAAAAATACACAATCCTCTCTGTCTACTCCTGTGATATAAACAGAAAAGCTAAAACTTCATCCTATCTTTTTTTTTTTTTTTTTTTTTTTTTTTTTACTGATAACGCTGATTCCTATTGAACTTTATCTTACAATTTATGTTTTTTAATGGCTGGTAAATGGTTGCAGAATC